GTGAAGGCTGCCATGTTCAAACCCTGAGCCGGCGCGCGTGTGTGTGTGTGTGTCGTCCACTTCTTAGGGATGCTGTGGAGTGGAGACGCCGTGGGAGGAAGTCTAAGAGAGAAACACGAATGGCTTCCCCGAAGCTGCTTCCCGCAAAGGAGGCAGGCAAGCAGTCCGAGCTGAACCCAGAAGCATTCGACCGGGTTTCCGGTGTGCAGCACGCCCGGAAGTCGGCCGGATCAACAGGAGACGGGCTCCCCGGGGAGGGCGGCTGCGCCCCCGCCCGCGGCAGCGGCAGCCGCGGCCGGTGCCTTTCAGCACCGAGGACAGCGCAGCGCAGGGCGGGCGCGGAGGGGAAGCTCTGCCCTCCCCCCGGCGGTGAGGAGAAGCTCCGGGTTTGCTGCGACGAGGAATTGGAGACCTCCTTCACCTTCATCGACGAGAACGTCAATTTGCGACTGGCCAGCCCGGAGACCGGCTGCAAAACTTCGCACAGGCCGGTCCGCAACGGCGAGCCTTGCTCCGAGACTCTGCCGGAGCTCTCGTTTATGTCGGAGGACGACCTCTCCTTCGGCGAAGGCTCCGGGAGCTCCGTGGACTACGGCTTCATCAGCGCGGTCACGTTCCTGGTGACGGGGATCTCCCTGGTGATCATTTCCTACGCCGTGCCGCGGGACGTGGAGGTGGACCGCGACAGCGTGTCGGCGCGGGAGATGGAGCGGCTGGAGATGGAGAGCGCCCGGATAGGCGCCCACCTGGACCGCTGCGTGATCGCGGGACTCTGCCTGCTGACCCTGGGCGGCGTCGTGCTCTCCACGCTGCTCATGATCTCCATGTGGAAGGGGGAGATGTACAGGAGGAAGCTCGTGGCCTACTCCAAGCGCTCGGCCAAACTGTACGGCTCCATCAGCCTGAAGACGAGATCCAGCCCCAGCCACTCGTCTGCCCGCTTGTCCCTGGAGGAGGAGATGGTGGAGACTTTGGCTTAAACCGCCGCTCCGCATAGAAACGTTTGTTTGTTTTGAACTATGATTAACGTCAGCCACGCACATTTTATAACCGCTGAACTAACTATTACATGCAAAACCCTCCAATGGTAGGGAATGGGCTGAATGTAGGTCCTAGATGTGTTGTAGTTTGAATCTATGTTCAAACTATGGTAATTTGAACATTGGGTTCAAACTACCCTGTGTTTGAACCCAATGGTTTTAGTGATGAGTTTTTTTGCTCATCACTTTTACAAAATCAGCCAGGAACAAAATGAACGTGGTCCACATGGATGATAGCTGGAGAATTATCACAGCTAACATGTACTTTTCTGTCAATTTTTGGGCCTATATGGGTTCCGCATTTAAGACAGACCATAACATGAGCTGTTGATTAGGGCTTCCATGCCAACAGGGGCGATCCCAAGAGCACTAGACCTACCCATGTGATAAATTACCCCCAGTCAGCAGGTATGTGGGCCAATCGTGGACTTTGCCCAGGCTGGATGGGTGCTAAGTAGGCATGGCTTCTTCTGGAGGATCCAAATGAGTCAACTTGATAACTGATGTCAGCAAAACAACTCTCATTAAAAAAAGAATTTGACTTTTATTTTTATTGAGTTTTTAAACAATAAGTCAAATTCTAGTCAACACTTCTATGGCCATGTGGATCCTACTTTGTGTCCAGAGTTGATAGTGTATAGGTAATGAAGATGAATCCACTATGTAAACCAGGGACTGTCCCAATACAAGCCATTTTGTCAGCCCATTTCCTACCTTTAGGGTCCCATATGTAAACCAAGTGAACTAGGCCTCAACCAGCCTCAACGAACACTTCAATTCATTGAGGAAAAAAAAAAATCTAATTTATGATTACTTTTATGAAGAATAACCTTACATTTAGATTCACATTCACAAAATTTACTAAGGATTAAAAGCATCAGCCATATGCTGTAATGTTTGAACTTTGAGTACAACCAGCTCATAATGACCACACAAGATTTTATCCTTTTTTTTTTTTTTTTGAAAAGACAACTCCCATTTTTTCCAAAAAATAAATTGGTCTAACAAATGATTTTTTAAAAAGAATATCTGCTCTGTTTAAGTTAATCTACTCCAGATTTAACTTGTTTGCATATTTTTATGTTTTTTTTTGTTTTTGTTTTTTGTGCCTCATTTCAATTAGTTTCTAATGCCAAACAATGCATTAAAATTTCCCGTTTTGTGTTTTCACAAAAAAAAAAACATAAAATAAAACTTTCATGAATCTGAAATTGGTCAGTGTAGTATAATTAAGGTGACACTAATCTGTGCGTTGGATTTTGAAACAAAATGCAGTCGGAAGTCATTAAAGTACCAAACGATGACGCTAACTTCAGCATTTTTAGCGGTAAATGGTCACAGTTTCTTCGTGACAAATAGAATTTACTGTTGGTGGAGGTGCGGATAGAAATCCGTGTTTTCAGACAGCCGAACATTTTTATTAGTACAAATTAAGAAAACACAACAATATTACCTACCCACAACTACAAATTACAAAATACAACATAAAAATAAAAAAAAAATAAAAAACGGAAGAGTTGGGAAACTTGAGACATTGCTGATTGGACAACGTTTGCCACCGGAAGTTATTCTGACTTTTGTGCGTTTGTCGAAAATCTGAATTTCAACATTCTTAGCAGTAGGTACATGATGGAAACGTAGCTATCGCTATTGAGCCTAAAATGCTTCATTCTTTTTGACAGTTCAGGCAATACATAGCACGGTGATTGTCTGCCTACCTGTCTGGAGAAAGAGAGATCAAACGCCGGTGCAATTTCCGGTTCTAAAGTCAAAGGAGGCGTTGTCCAAGCAGCGATGTCTCAGGTATCTCACTCTGCCTTTTCTGTTTTGTAAATGTCATTGTGTTTTCTTCATTTGTAATTGTGCCTAGTTAATATTGTTGTGTTTTTGAACATGCAAAACACAACACAACTTCGTGGCCACCGTAAATTGTGTCGTTTTTGTTTGTTTGTTTGTTTTTTGTTGTTTTTTTTTTACTGTCGCGAGATCTCGAATCGTGAGATGTCTTGACTCTCCCCCGTTTAGCGATGCCAGGATAATTCCGCTTATTGGTCATTTGTTAATCGTTTCTGATGTTCGCCTTCGAGCTGGAACTTCCATTCAAACTGTAACCGCACAATAATCAGAGACAATTTTCTTAAAAAATTGTCAAATGACACTTATAAGCACAATGAAGCTAATTGGCGCCTCCTGCCGGATTCTATTGAATCTGCAATAATAATCCGCAATCGGGAAATGACAAGAGTTCAATAAATTAGAGAAATAACATTGTCTTCCCCATTAATTTACTGCTATCCACCCATCCGTGGTCTTTGCCACTTATTTAGAAAATAGAAACTAAATGTTGTAACTCATATCATTAAGGTCCTTCAAAGAGGCAGGGGTTCCCCTTGACAACTCCCCAATACATTTCAGGGTAACTGGACAAACAACAACTGTGGAACATTTTGAGGGACTAGTGAGGAATCTGGAATACCTGGAGAGAAACAACAAGGGGAACATGCGAACTCCATGCAGAAAGACTTCAAACCCTCAACCTTCTTGCTGCAAAACAGTGATACCCAAATGCTATTTACTGTATATATACTGGTGTTCATTCATTAAATAATGGGAAGTGAATTATGTGAGGGTCAGTAAACCATGAAATCTGACACCTTAAGTGTCCCTCCTACCCCCTCCCCAAAAAAATCTTACTTGTAATTCTGTAAATTACAACCTGAATCTGTACATATCATTTATGTAACTAGCAAAGAAAGTCTCAAAATTCCAAATCACATACGCAATCCAAACAAACCACTCACAGGCTTTCTGTGACCAACGCTGAGGGCTTTTATTTATCGGAGTCATTCATTTTTAATGTGAAGGTTTCCAGCAGTGACACGGCAGAGCAGGGGCACATTTCAGTCCGTCCGTCCCCCACCCCCCACCCCCCTCCGGGCAAATGAGTGGGAGAAAGCAGAGGCCTATGAAGCTTGTCCCTGTCTCACCGAGAAGGAGGAGAATCAGCTCAGCGGTTCCACGCCGTAATATCCAGTGACAGTTCCTGTTTGGCGCAGTGCTGAGGTAAGCCAGTAAGCCTGGCGGAGACGCACTCCGGTTTGACTGTTGTGAGCAGGTTGACGTTACAGCTGATCATTTCTTGCTCCTCCTTCCTTTCTGTTCATAGCATTTCATCGCCCAGCAGATACATGGCACAGTCAGCACCAACCTTGTTCCGAACGAGACGTACGTGCGCCGCAAAGAGTCTTTGGCAAAACACGAACCCGAGCGCCTGTAACTTTTCCTGTTTTTGATCGGCCTTTCTCTATGAGCCAGCTTTTCCTTTCCCCCCATCCCTGTGCTTTAAAGCTGTGGTTTAAGCACAACTAATAACACATGAAAGAGTTGCCCTACTTCGAAAATCCTAAGCTGCCATGGCTTCAAAGAGCCAATTATCTCTCTAATACGGGATATTATTACACTTAAATCCTCACGTTTCGGTGTGATTAGAGTGATTTGCTGATCAAATGGCAGCGGGTAAAAATACAGATTCTGAGCTAAGATGTTTAATGCAAATTTACTAAAAAAAATTGTTAACCTTCCCTTGCAAAGCTGAAAATTTTAGGTTTTATGCAAAAGAAGCAGAATTTTTTTTCTGCTTAATGAGTGTTAGGTAATTTGATACAATTCTATTACAAATGATTATTTATGCAAACTGGTCTCTGTGTGGACAAAAGATAACAGAAACAGTGAGCCAGCCTTTTAGCTTTTAGCCCATAGCCCCAAAGCAGATGCCAACTTTATTTGTGAAAACAATAGATTCTAAGGAAAAAAAAAAATGGAAAAAAAAAACTATAAGTATGAATTATTTTCTCACTTTTTAACCCAATACTGTGTGTTGCATGTGAGGGGCAGGAAGGGGGCTTGGCGTTCATGTGGCAACTTCATAATCACAGATATTTCTTTACAGGAGTAAAGTATTGTTTTGCACAAGACGAGTCCTGACGAATTTCTCTGCAGCATCTCTGTAACCTTGGTTTCCATTTCTCTGACTTGCAGGGCTGCATGACCCCGTTTCATTGGCTTATGTTCACAACGACATGAGTCAGCCCGCGTTAATGGGAGACGTAGGCTGATCACTATATGCCAAAGCGCTCGAGGTCACAGTGTTGCTACGCTTGAATGCTTTTGAATTGCATTTACATATATATATATATATATATATATATATACACACACACACACACACACACACAAACAGCAGACTGCATAAAAGAAATAGGCGCTCATCTGTGAAAAATCTGTGGATCTGCTTTATCCGTCTTTGGTTTGTCTCACCTTAGAGCTGACAAATGTTTGTGTATTTTTCTGAAAAAATGGAAACGGAGCGTGCTCCCAATGGCGATGAACCGTCAAACGAAGCCATTTCCAGGAAAGGTAATAAAATTTAATAAGAGCGATGAGGCAGTGTTGTTGTTGTTGAAGGAAGCAGTAAATCCAGATCCCACATGACAGCACTGTATATTGAAAGCAAAATTCAGTTGATTAGGAGCTCCGATTGTTGCTTTCAGTAAAAACAAGACCAAGTTGCAGGTTGTTTCTTCTTCTCATGCACTTTAACGTCAACAGCAGCGAGACCAGCAGTCATGCAGGATCTCTTCTGTTTTTTTTAATCACACGTTTGTGTTTCAGTTTAATATGAGAAAAAAAGGATAACCAATTTAAATACAGAGAGGTATTCTCAAATAACAATTTAATCTGTTGAAGGACGCAAATCTATCAAAAAAACCAACATGGCCCTTTGTGAGAAAGCAACTGCTTCCAAAGCTTGTAACTGACTGTGTCACACTTGCCATCAACTGTTTGTCACAACTGGGACGTTTACGTCGCTGTGGGGAAATCTGGTCCATTTATATTTGAAGAGTTGCTTAAATCCAGCAACTTTGAGGGCTTTTGGTGCATGAACAGCTGCAGCACCTCAGTCCTCAGATATATGGTCCTGTATTTGACAAAGTCACTCCGAAACTTTCATCTCGTTTGTTGGAGCCACGAAGAGACGGGCGTATTGTGTGCATCACTTCATTCAATGTACTGCTACGTAAAACCCAAGTGGACTTTAGCTAACTGTTACAAGCGGTTGATTGGTCAGACTCTCTCCTTCACAAACTGCAGTCAATTTATTAAATTCTTTATGGAGTGAATGCAAAAAGACTGGAGGGTTAATCTGCACATTAACGTCATATTCAGTAGCACTGCTACATCCAATCCAAACAAATGTTGAGAAAGTGTCACAGTTCTACCAAATCAATCATTAAAAACTTAGAAGTAATTATAGATCAGTTGACATCCTACCCAGAGCTTTTCCTAAGAGACTTTCCTGTCACTGAATCTGATCAAAACAGAAAACGCATCCCTCTTAACTGGTGTGTTCCACTCATCAAAGTATATAAAGACTTCCACGTAAATGCAGACCTTGGAAGAACCACACTGCTGGTTCTGTTTGAACCTCTGTGTAGCATTCAACACGGTTGAGCCACAGCATGTTATGGAAACAAATGGAGAGCTGACTCAGAATCACAGGTGTAGGACCTGTGATTCGTTTGAGAGGGAAGAAAATTAAATCCGGGGTACCTCAGGGTTTCATCCTCGGGCCCCTATCTAATATCTACAGTACATGCTCCCACTAGCTCAGATTATAACAAGTAAGAAGATCACTTACCATGGATGATACACAGCCGTACATTACAGTGTCACCAGATGGCTAATCAATCCATGGATGTCCCATAACTCTCTTCAGCTGAACCCGAAACTAAATTGACGTAATTATTTTTGGACCCAAGCAGTAAATCATCAAGGTTCAGCATGCATTTATTTCAAGCTAGAAACAATCGATAAGGCCTGAAACCAAGGTGTCGGACCTGAACCTTCAGAGACACATAAAGACAATTACAAAGTCAGCCTTCTGTCACCTGAA